ATCCAATTAAACAAATTGTGAAAGCATCTAAATAGTTTACCAGGTTTTGACAGCTGTTAATAGGATTTAGAAGCTGGAAGCACTAAATAGCAAAATGGGAGATATATGTATTGTAGGTATTCTATCTACAAAGTTTGTTACTGTCACCCAATCTAGCGCAAACAGATGAACTAGAACAGTTTTTCTTATAAAATTAATATCTATACTTCTTTCCCACAATGACCTCATTGTATTAGGAACAAGAACACTGAAATGATGGGTCATTTTTGTTTTCTAATTTACATTTTTGTATGTAAAGTAATGAGAGAGAAACCGATGATATTTTGAGAACTAAACAGTAAGGAAAGTTTTAATATTTGCTAACCAGTAAAATTATAAAGCTGCAATGCAAACTAAACTTTTGGTCATTGGTTTATAAAATCCATTATGTTTTCTTTTTTATCTTTTAAAGTTGAAAATAATGAACATCTGTTAATTTTGAAAATGCCAATTTTTAAATTAGGAAAAAAGTGAAAAAGGTGAACCAGGCTAACAAGAGACAAAATACTGACATCTCAATACAGGTTTGGATAAAATTCTATAGGTTTAAGTTCTTACTGAAATATATTCTTGGCCAGGTGCGATAGCTCATATCTGTAACTCCAACACTTCAGGAGGCAGGTGCGATAGCTCATATCTGTAACTCCAACACTTCAGGAGGCAGAGAGGGGGGACTGCTTGAGCCCAGGAGTTTGAGAACAGCCTAGACAACAAAGTAAGACCCTGTCTTTACAAAAAATAAAAAATTAGCCAGGTGTGGTCACGTGTGCTTGCTGTCCCAGCTACACAGGAGGCTAAGGCAGGAGACTCCCTTGAACTCAGGAGGTCAAGTCTGCAGTGATCTATGTTCATGCAACTGCACTCCAGCCTGTAGTGAGACCCAATCTCAAAAAAAAAAAAAAAAAAAATTAAAGTCATTGGACTTTAAAATTTGCCCTTAAAGAATCTGAACTATGGGAGGCCAAGGCAGTCAGATTGCTTGCGCTTAAAAGTTCTAGACCAGCTTGGGCAACATGGCAAAACCTTATCTCTACAAAAAACAAACAAAAAAAATTAGCCAAGAATGGTCACACATGCCTGTGGTCCTCAAGAGGCTTAGGTGGGAGGATCACCTGAGCCTGGGGAGGTCCAGGCTGCAGTGAGCTGTGATCAGGCCACTGTACTCCAGCAAGCCTGAGTGACAGAGTGAGACCCATCTCAAAAAAAAAAAAAAATCTAAACTGGCTATCAGTAAATCACATCACTTCAAACTCAAGACATTAGCATATAAGAAGTTTCCATTTCAAAGGAACCACCTCAATTTTACTAATAACATTAATCTTTGCCTTTTCTGACTATCAAATACCTCATTCATGGGCAAAATAATAATATTTAACAAATAATAATTTCAGTGCAATTCTTTACTTCCCCATTAGAACAACAGGAGATTTACTACTTTTACAACAGAAAGACACTACACATCAGCAGTAGGTAAGGTTCCAGCTTCTCAGCTGGGCTAAGCTCTTCCAATGTCATGGGGCCAGGTATAATTCTTTATCTAGAATTGTGAGGACTGAAGGCCATGATGTATGAAAGGTCTTTCTAAAGTATAAAGAGTCTACAAATATATTGTTTCATTTCTGCCCGTTACAACAATTACTTTTTCTATGATTTTCATCTACATATTAAACTGTTTTGTATTTGTATTTTTGAGAAATAACTTCTACCTATCAAAAAATAATAGATGAATATACATTTAAAGAGGTTGGAGTTTTGGACTGGCCTAAACAAAGCGTAGACTAACGTATGCACCTGGTAGGAGCTTCATTTATAAATCCAAAAGAAAAAAACTTCCTTTTCATTAAAAATTCCCTGGCATAGAATATTCACTCTTTTTTAAAAAAAGCAATGAAAAAGTTTAAAGCATGTTAAGATACAATTTTTAGTAAAATTTAAAACCTGTCATCGAAATACAATTAAATTGGCTAAAAAACATTCTGACTGTCATAATGCCAAACTCAGGGTCACAGGTAAAGGAAGGAATGAAAATGTCTTCTATATCTAGAGCATAAGTAGTTCTTGGTGTATACAGCATGTTTTGTGTTATATCACAGTTAGTGTATTTATTTCCCATATAGACTAGGAATATTTTCAAGGTGAGGAGCAGGTTTAAATAATATTTGTGTCCCCAGAACCTGACAAGGGTGGAGTTACTTTAGAAATTGAATGAATGGGCTGGGTGCGGTGGCTCACACCTGTGATCCCAGTACTCTAGCACTTTGGGAGGCCAAGGCAGGCAGATCACTTGAGGCCAGGAGTTCAAGACCAGGCTGGCTGACATGGTGAAACCCCATCTCTACTAAAAATAGAAGACATTAGCTGGATGTGGTGGCACGTGCCTATAGTCCCAGCTATGCAGGAGGCTGAGACAGGAGAATCAGTTGAACTCGGGAGGCAGAAGTTGCAGTGAGGCAAGATGGCTTCACTGCACTCCAGCCTGGGCAACAGTGAGGCTCTGTCTCAAAAAAAAGAAAAGAAAAGAAAAGAAATTGAATGAATGAATGAACTTGGTCAGCCTGAACCAGTTTAGTGATAATAACCAGGCCAGGCAGAGAAGAAGTAGTAAATCACAATATACCCCTAAGTTGTCTATAGAATTCTGATGCTGTCATGCAGTATGTAGTTTCTCTTAATGCATCAGAATGAGGTCATGCCTGACAGTGATAGCCAGTCCTCTAGTTGACTTCTTTGCCCACTGTGGTATGGCTTCTGCTCTTCCTACTCCACCATTCTGCAATAGGATGCCACTGGCCAGTCCCTGTTTTTTAAACCTCTTTCCTTAGCTTATTCTCTGCTGGTTCTTCTCCTACCTCACTTATTTACTTATTCCCTCTATTTACTTCTCTTTTTCTATCTCCTAGATGTGAATTATCTCCCGGGGCCTATTTTTCGAAACCTTTGCCTTTTCACTTTACATACTCTGTCTCCAAGTTTTTATTGCTATTGATTCTCAAGGCCTGGAGAGCTGCAGACATATACTTCCTGACATATTCCCTCCTAAGCCCCAGACATATACTTCCTGACATATACAATCACTTCATGAATTTCCAACAGTTATCTCACACTCAACAAGTTGCAAACAAGCTCGTTATCTCTCCCATTTCTTCTCTCTTTCCAAATCTACTCTTCCTATAATATTCTCCGTTGTCCTCTCTGCATAGTGGCTGTTTGATGTCAATGTCTGTATATTATTCTGCTTCTATCAACATTTAGCACTGTGCCTGATACAGAGCTCAGTGACTACTTACTAAACAAGGAAGTAAGGCAGGAAAGAAGGTAAGAAGAAAGAAAGGAAAGCATGAACAACTATACCGTTATTTGCTTCAAATACAAAATTACAGTTGACAGTGTTTTAAAAAACTGCACAGATTACAATTTTGCCTAAAGCTAGCATATTAGTCCAGGATAGAGGGAAACAATAAATTGTATTTCTAACTTAAGGTATAACAATCAGACCCAAAAGGTATAAAGGATTCTTGGACGAGAAGGAAATAAGTATAAGGATTAAGAATTAGAAGATTCTTGCTCTTTTTAGCATTAAATTAAAATAAAAAATATAAGAAAATAATTTAACATTTGCCATCTTCTTCCCTTCCTCCCTCCCTGGTTTTCAAATAATGGAATTAGAGCACTGAGAGGTAATGGAAGAAACTCAGCACTGACTTCTCCTAGGTGAATATACAACATTAAAAGCACACAAGGGAATAAGCTATCTTGTCACTGGAACATGTTCATCCCTGGGGTGAAGTGTAACAACTGCTTAACAGCTGCCCAGTAACATACTTCAAGGCTGCAAGCAAAGACACATCCTAGCTTTATCAGAAACTGTGGAGGAAATATTGTCTGGCAGAATAAAACTAGAATGGAATCTGGCCAACTAAGAATCTATGTCCTTTCTATTTCAAATGGCAACTTCTAATGATCACAGAGAGGTTTCTACTAACAACATTCAAGTAACATCAGATGGGTATCAGTAATTACAGGGAAGGGACAATATGGTATTTTACTTATTTTTTCCACTGAAAGTAGAGTTGAATGCCTTTTTTTTTTTTTTTTTGAAAGTTTCTGATAAAAGAACATGGGCTTTGGAGTAAGATGGAACCGAGGTTCAAGTTGTACTAACTAGCTGTGTGACCTCAGCAAGTTACTGGACTTCTGTGAATTTTCTCATTTGTGTTGCAGTAATGATAATATCTATATTTGACAGGGCTGTTACAGTAATGAAACCAAGCAAAATAATGTATATAAAGGCGTAGCATAGTAGCTGACACATAATACGTTTATGACCTTGAGATAGGCAAAGATTCTTAGCTGTAACACTGAAAACATGATTCATAAAATATTCTACAACTCAATAATAAGACAAATAATCCAATTTTAAAATGCACAAAAGTAGTCTTTGGCTTTTCTAAGGTAATAAATAACATTTTAAAAATGCACAAAAGATGTGAATTAACAATTCACCAAGGAAATTATATGAACGGACAACAGACCAATGAAAAGACACTCATCATCATCAGTCATTAGAGAAGTGTGAATTAAAACCATAATAAGATTCGACTTCACACCTGCTAGAATGGTTACTATGAAAAAGACACAATAAAGAGCATTGGCAAGGCTGTGAAGAAAATAGAAACCTTATCTGTTGCTGGTTGGAGTGTAAAATGATACAGCCATTTGGAAAACAATTTGGCAGTATGGTAGGCAGCCTTCTAAAACCGCTCCTAGCATTCACACCCTTGTGTAATGTTCCTCTCCAGCGTGGGCTAGACCTGGGTGATTGCTTCTAATGGAAAAACATGGAAAAGTGATGGAAGGTATCCCTTCTGTGTTAGGTTACAAAAGACTGTGACTCTCTCTCTCTCTCTCTCTCTCCCTCTCTCTCTCTCTCTCTCTCTCTCTCTCTCTGGTGCTTCTTGCAGGCTTCTGAGATGAAGTAAGCTGGAGAGCAATGAACTGATGGCAGTGTTTAGTCAACCTCCAGTGAAGAAATGAGGCCTTCAGTCTAACAGCATTCAAAAACTGAATCCTGACAATAACCACATGAGTGAGTTTGGAAGCTAACTGATCCTTCCCTAGTCAAGTCTTTAGATGAGACCATAGTTCAGGTCAATATCTGGTTAGCAGCCTTGGAAGAGACTGAAGCAGAGGACCCAGATACGCTGTGCCTGCATTCCTGGGATGATACGTTTTAAGTTGCTAGGGTTTGGGGTCATTTGTCACATAGCAATCAATAACTAATGTAGGGCAGTTTCTAATAAAATTAAACATAAATTTACCATACAATAATTCTACTCCTAGGTATCTGCTCAAAAGCAGTGAAAACCTATGTCACATAAAGACTTGTACATAAAATGTTCATGGAAGCTAAAAATGCAAACAATCAAATGTCCATCAAACAGTGAATTGATAATCAAAATGTACTATATGAATACAATTGTATTCTTTTTTTTTTTTTTTTGAGAGAGTCTCACTCTGTTGCCTAGGCTGGAGTGCAGTGGCATGATCATGGCTCACTAGGCAGCCTCGACCTCCTGGGCTCAAGCAATCCTTCCACCTCAGCCTCCTGAGTAGCTGTTTTTTAATTTTGTTTTTCGTAGAGGCAGGGCCTCTCTATGTTGCCAGCTACTCCAGAAGCTGAGGTGGGAAGATCACTTGAACCCAGAAGTTTGAGATCAGCCCGGGCAACATAGTGAGATCCCATTTTAAAAATTTTAAGAAAAAATAAAAGAAACAAACTACTGATACATGCAGCAACATAGATGAACTTCAAAAACTTGATGCTAGGTAAAAGAAGCCAGAAACAAAATATTACATATTGTATTATTCCATTTATATGAAATGCCCAGAAACAGTAACTCTTTAGAGACAAAAGTAAGATTAGTGGTTGCCTGAGGCTGCAGGCAGGAATGGGGATCAACTACAAACAGGTACAAAGGATTTTTTAGGGTGATGGAAATGTTCTAAAATGTGGTGGTAGTTGTACAACTCTGTACATTTTCTAGAAAAGTCATTGAATTGAACACTTAAAGGTACGTAAATTATAAGCACATTAAAGCTGTTTTAAAAAGAAATCTATACAGATAAACAAAACAAAATAAAATTGATAGCTCTGATACTGACTGTCTCAAAAGGAGAATGTTTAGCTACCCATTCACCAACGACTACAAGAAGCATCGTGATAAGTATAGTTTCTGAGCTATGATTACTTCCATATGACAAATGCTCAGAAAACTATCTTTAACTCCTTTTGTTCCTGTGCTGCTGATTTCATTCCCTTTCAACAAAATTAACAAGATTTTGCTCATTGAAAAACGCAAGGTGCACCTGCTACTTGACAGTAGGAAAGGAGGATTAAAAAAACTCAAGTACAGAAGAGTTGGCCTGATTGGACATTTCCGATATTTAGTTATTTTATTATCAATTTCAGACAAATACCTAACTACTGATTTTTGCTCTTTCTAAATTGGGCTTAAATCCATAAGGATCCAGATACATAAGGATGTATTACTTCTTTGTCATATTTTGTGCTTTTATGGACCATACTGTCCCACTTTCTATTCTGTTAATAATTTAGTGTGTTTTACTAGGCTATGATTATTAATTAGTTAATGAGCACTATCTCTGAACTGCAAAGCAGCAGTGGTATAAATGCACCTGGGTAAGTTCTCTGAGGGTTCATTCAGGAAGGTGGGTTGTCTCCTAAGACAAAATAAGAAAATAAAGAATTATCTTTTTTATATAATCTCAGAGAGAGAAAGAACTAGTACAACCTGAAGGACTAGAACCAGAAAATCAAGCTGATGGTAAATAAGGAATAGGTCATATAAAAATGCCAGAGAGAGTTCTGGGCTCCAAGTAAAGAAGAGAGGTAATAATGGACCATTAAATGTTGTTTCTTCAAATGTTGGTGGATGGGAGGTATTACCACAGCCTAGACTGACTTAAAAGAAGTTAACAAAGAGCCTTTCCTATTTTCTCTAGGACTGCTATGAACTTACTTAAGGAGTAAGAAAGGGTAACAAAGGCACTGGCTGAGATTTCTGCTTCTGTAGACGCAGGTGCAGAAAAGGCTGGTTCTAACACATCTTGTCAATGTCTTTAATGCCACCAGACTGATGAATATAGTGAAATATCTATCATGATCCCATTTTTACTTATTCAGTTGACATAATTAGCAAATCTATTAAGGGTAAGGTCACAAATTATTTTTGAATATTAAACCGTGGCTCTCCATATGTTACTGTTTAGACAGCATCACCCACTGCAGAATATAGTTTTCAGGATTGTCATTTCTGCAACCTCAAATCTAGATCCAAATGCAGTCAGTTAAAGCAGATTTCAACCAAGCAGCTAAATGAGAAAACATCTGGACCTACCAGTCAAAATGAGAAAGGTCACATGTTAAATCCAGATAATCTTGTTTATTGGTGTTTGAAGGTTATACACCAAGGGCTGGATTACCAGGGTCCTCCTTTAGGCCTGGCACTGACAGCTTCATTCACCTGCTGTGTGTGTCACTTTAAAATCCAAAGCTTTGAAAGTATTGTGTTATTAGTCACTTCCAAATGTAATTTTCCTAATTCTGAGCCTGAATACTATGTCAACCTATTGCTAGACTGCTGATGAGATCCTGGGAGAAACCATGGGACAGAACTGTCAGGGGCAGATGATGTCTATTCTTTTAAAAACTGTTTTCCAAATTTCCATTCAGCATTTTTCTATGGATGAAGCAACTGTAATTTTCTCTCTCAAAATTAAGAAAAAGAAAAGGAATAAGCAAGGAATAAAATTAAAAGATTGATGTAGGATTTAGGGATGATGATGAAGAAAGGGGGATTGTATCTATTACATTATTTTTTATAATTAGTGTTCTTCTGTATATAAACAACTGAACCAAAATTTTTTATGTTGGAAGCAACTCCACATACCAATGCATATAAAACTACTATGAAAACAGCAAAGTCAAATGTCTTAAGACTTTACATGCTTTGGTAAGATCTTTTTCATCTTTTCTAGGTTATGAACATCTTTGAGAACTGTACTCTTTGCCTAGAAAAAGAGTACACCTACCCATAAACACAAAATTTCACATACTATTGATTGATTTCTCAAACCCTGAGATCTCAGGTTTGAGAATATCTGCCTTTGACCTTTAAATAGGCTCAGACTTACAGACACTTCTGTGCTACATTTTGTATACTTCATATAATAGTGGTAGGTATTTTTCTAATGTTTTGCTCCAGCACCCTTGAAAGAATTTTGAAAAATGATATAGCTTTCTTATACATAGTAGACATTAAGTACATACTAGGTTGATATCTATAATTTTTCATCATGAGTTTAAATATTTTTAAATGAAAGCAGAAAGTTTGTGTGTTGTAAATAATGACAGTTTAAACTGTTACCACACCCTTTCAAATGTATCTACTTAGGAATATATACATATTTGTAATTTGATTTACTCCATCATAAATTAAAAAATACATAATAAGCTTTTCAAGAAAATCAGAAAATTTCTCTTTGTACTTCTATTTCCATTTCACTTCCCCCATGGAATTTTATCCTAATGTAGTACTCTTTATATGACTGAGTCATCTATTGTTCAATCCATTATATGTATCTGCAGCAAAACAAAACAAAAACCCAATAAAGTAATTTTGTTAACATAAAGTGCTGTGTCAAAATGTGTTTTCTTCTGGACTGAATTAGCATTACAATTATTAACATACAATTGAGTAAAACAATATAAGTATATTATAATTTTTGATCAATGCATATAAAACTATAATTACCAAATGCAAAAAGTAAAATTTGTTGGGAATGTATCTCCTAATGAGAAGGATAGAGGGGAAATAATTTATGAAAGTTTGATAAAAGAAATTATCTAACTGATCTTTTGTTTGGCATCCTGGATGTACTTACTCCTTAGAGATGGGAGAAATGTTCTTTTCTTTTACACAGTGGAAAAGGAAGGCTGGGCATGGTGGCTCATGCCTGTAACCTCAGCAATTTGGAAGACCAAGGCAAGAAGATCACTTGAGCCCAGGTGTTCAAGACCAGCCTAGGCAACACAGTGAGACCCCTCTACAAAAAATTAAAAAATTAGCAGGGCATGGTGGTGCATGCCTGCAGTCCTAGTTACTTAGGAGGTTGAGGATGCTTGAGCCCAAGAGGTCAAGGCTACAGTGAACTGTGATTATCCCACTGCACTCCAGCCTGGACAACAGAGCAACAACCTGTCAAAAGAAAGGAAAAAAAAGAAGAGAAGGGAGGGAGAGGGGAGGGGAGGGGAGGGAAAGGGAGGTAGAGGAGAGGGGAGGGGAGGGGAGAGAAAGGAAGGGAAAGGGGAGGGAAGGGGAGGGGAGGGGAAGGGAGGGGAAGGGAGGGGAAGGGAGGGGAGGGGAGGGGAGGAAAGGGGAGGGGAGGGGAGGGGAAGGGAGGGGAGAGGAAGGGAGGTAGAGGAGAGGGGAGGGGAGAGAAAGAGAGGGAAAGGGGAGGGGAGAGGAAGGGAGGTAGAGGAGAGGGGAGGGGAGAGAAAGAGAGGGAAAGGGGAGGGGAGGGGAATGGAGGGGAGGGGAGGGGAGGGGAATGGAGGGGAGGGGAGGGGAGGGGAAGGGAGGGGAAGGGAGGGGAGGAAGGAAGGAAGGAAGGAAAGGAAGAAAGAAAGCAAGCTAGTTCAATGGCAGCAGTCTTCTAGGCAGATCAGTTTTAGGAAGAGAGGAAGAGAATATACTGAAGTTGTGGATCTGGAAACTGATTCTCTTAAAATCATTTACTCCCATACAATCCTTGGAAAGTTTTCCCAGCATTTGAAGAACACTACTAAAATAAAAGACCCCGTTGCCAAAATGTACTCACACGCTGTTCTTCACTTTAGTTAATGAACCAATACTTACTTAGTGAGCACTTGTGAACATTGCAGGGGATAAATGGATAAATGGATGGTTGGATGGAAAGGCAGAAAGAAAAATGGATAAACACTGAGTGTTTACTATATTCCCAGAACTTTGGCATAAAAGAATACAACTATAAACTGTCCTTGCCATGTCTTTGGGACACAATCAAGTACAATAAGACCTGGCCACAATACAGTGTATACAAATTTGGATGTAACAGGATTGCTGATTGCCTCCAGTTGTCTACCCTTGCCCACTTCTCTGACAAGAGCAAACTAAAGTTATTATGTTATGGGAATGGATAGGAAGTAACTGCCTCGTGATCATTTGGGTCTTTTAAGGTTTAATGTATGGTCAATTGTGTCCAGTCTAAGCTTCACTGTCATTGATTTGTGCTTTTTGTTAACAGTATATACTAAAAAAAACCCTGCCAAAAACAACAACAAAAAAAGCCATCTACTATATTTACTATATTTCATTTACTTGTAATAACGTGACCCCCCCATATTTTATAAGATAAAATTTCTAGATCCCATCTACTATGTTGTGCAGAGAGCTCATGTACTCTTCTCATCTCTAACACTATTCTCTTTCATGTGAATTACAAAATAAAAACAAAAACAAAACAGAACACCCAAAACCCAAAATCCCTTTGGGCTGACAAATTACAAAAACAACGAAAAAGATAGTTCTCATGAGCCAGGACAGGATTTTGTTCAGTCTTCAGTCCAGTGGTGTACTGGCAAATGCTTAACAACAAGCTCAGGATGGGGGAAGGGCTTATTGGTGGCATTCACTGATCTCAGTGGTATAAGTACTCCACCATGGCCAATTTCAAGCTACCAACATGGAGTCAGCCAGCATACCAAATTCCTGAAAATTTAACAAGCAACTATGAGCTGATTCTGGCATACCACTGGGACTCCTCATTTATCCCTCAGCAGGGTATCTTCCTGTAGCTATCAAACTGCACCAAGGTATACAATGATTCGGGTCACCATGCCTGGTGCCAAAGTTTATTTGAACAGCAGAACTCACTTGGCAAGAAAAGCTGCTATGAAAGTTAGCAGGTACATAAGGTTGTTTTATGCATTCTCTTAATCCAGCTGAAAGGAGGCACCAACACTACTGCTTCATGGATAAAGAAAGCAAAAAGAAGGGAGAAAATTCTCCAGAGGATCCACTAAGGACAGTGGGCCACCCAATTTTTCTGTTAACCATTGCAACTGCCTATGGCCCTTTTGCAGATGTCAAATATCTTCCTATACATTCCTTTCAGTTTGCTGTGCTACCAGCTTAGTTATGAAAACACAAATCCAGATATGTTTTCTGTTAAAAAGTTTCAAGGGCCAGGCATAGGGGCTCATGCCTGTAAACCCAGCACTTTGAGAAGCCAAGGCAGGAGGATCAATTGAGTCCAAAAGTTCCAGACCAGCCTGGGCAACAAAGCAAGACCCTGTATCTACAGAAAAAAAAATTAGCCATGCGTGGTGGCATGCAACTGTAGTCACAGCTACTCTGGAGGCTGAGGTGGGAGGATCACTTGAGCCCAGGAGGTTAAAGCTGCAGTGAGCCAAGATCATGCCATTGCACTCCAGCCTCAGTGACAGAGTGATTAAAAAAAAAAAAAAAAAGATTCAGGGAGAGATGTCTCGGTTTTATCACTAACATAACTTACCCGTTTGACACAGTACAAGCTGAAAAGCTCTACCCATGGTAAGCACTTACAGAAATCCCCTGTGAGTGAACTTCTGCAGCAGAGCACTGCTGATTTTGTAAGATAACCCCCGCATCCCATGAGTGACAGGTCTTGATCTGGGCTTGAGAGATGTAATATTTTGATAAAAAACGGCACTTCCTTTTAAAGCATATATTTGCGTGTGCTGAGCAGTACGGCGGGAGCCTCAGCCAGTGCCTAGGCGGGGCTGATTCAGTCTCTCCCAGCTTGCTCCAGCCACCCTTCTTCACACATCTAAATGTGGCGGTAATTAGCATCCATAAACCACACATGTGGCTTAGTTTCCCTCCCCCCTTTCAAAAGCATCAAAGTAGTTAGTACTTCTTATAAGCACCAAAGAGTTGCACACCTCAAAAGGGCCTCAAAAATGCCATGGAAAGCTACTGAAGATGGGAGCTGTCTCCTAAGAGGGGGAAGAATTATTTTTTTCAGCAAACTTTCTAATTAAAGTTCTTATCTTTGATCTAAGCATCTACACTGCACAAGATGTCACAACAGAGAAAATGTAAGGCCTTTCAAAATGATCAAATTCAACTTTTCTCATGAAATCTGGCAAGACCCATAGCTCTTACAGGACAGAAATAATTAAATGCATACACTGATTGATCACCACTGTACGATTAATTAAAAAAAGAAATCTATTTCATGATGGGTATCGGATCTATTTGATATTTAGTTGGAGTCAGAAGATGAAGGGTGTACTGTGTTGAATAGTGTCCCTTCTAAATTCATGTCCTCCTGGAACCTCAGAATGTGATTATTTGGAAATATCATCATAGTAGATGTAGTTAGTTAAGATGAGGTCACACTGAATTAGGGTAGGCCCTAAATCCAATGACTAGTTTCCCTAGAGGAGGAGAGAAACAAGAGATGCCCACAGAGAAGAAGCCTGCGTGACAACAGAGGCATGAGCCAAGGAATACCAAGCATTGCTGGAAGCCACCAGAAGCTAGAAAGAGGCAAAAAAGAATTCTTCCTAGGCCCTTCCCATGGTCCTGCTGACACCTTGATTTTGAACTTCTACCCTCCAGAACAAAGAGAGAAAAAAGTTCTGTTGTTTTGTCACCCTGTTGTGGTAATTTATTATGGAAGCCCTGGGAAACTAAGACAAAGGGTAAATGTGCAACTCGGGCAGGGTAAACAGCTAGTGTTGATGGGTATCAAGATATATGATGTACTTTTTACCCCTACGGCAGCTCTAGAACAAAATGGCTTGTGTAAGTAGAAAGAGATAGTGGCTGATGGGGCTGCTGAAAAATGGAGGGCCAGTAGAGTGCTAAATACAGGGGTCAGTAGCCAAACTTTTATTCCTCAGCTATTCAAAGAGGAAAAATAATACTATCAGCAAATGCATCACAAACCTCGTAATATATATGCTCATGACAGAATCTTTCCTTCTATTTTCCAAGTGGGAAATGGCAAAGATGGGAATCCAATTTCAGAGGAAGAAGGACTGAAACAAAAAGCCGCAAGAGTTCCATTTCAGTCATTCTGCCCTTAAGGCCATGTCTTTTCCACTTGTTTAAGCACCTAATTACATTCTTTCTGAAATTGTTTGTATATGACAATTGCCTTGCTGGGATGACATCCCACCATCTCGTGTCTTATCTCTACCAAGTTAATATCCCTCAGTACACTAGCATGAAACATATCTTCTCTCTAGCCTTGATACTCAGAGGTTTTTATTTTATTGTGTTGCTCTGTGATCATAGGCCAAGATATAAGCAACAAGAATATTCTTTCTCATGATACGTTGTAGTACTGTTTTAACTCTTGCTTTTGACATCACAGTATCTTGCTGACATTTTAGATCCAAGTAGAAGGTCCCAAATCTTTTGTATGCAGCAAAGTGCATGTGATATTCCCAGCACTCATTGGATGCCAAACAAAAAGCAAGACGCTGCTCTCTGGGTTATTTCCTATAGCTCAAGTTCAGTCTGAAGATAGTTACAGCTGGTCACTAAAAGGAGGAGAAATAATAACTGTTCATAGAAGTTAATGAACAGGCTGGAAAAAGAACTCTGAACGTCTTCATT